TATTTTGTCATAGCAACAAAAAGCTAACACAATAATGTAGCTTTAAAAAAAGAAAATGAAAATCTCACACCAGATAATTTGTTCAGGAGGGAAACATGATAGTGCGTGAAAGGCAAAGTCCCCTGGGAAACTAACTTGTTGCAGATCATTCAGGAATCCAGATTTCTGGCACTCACGTCAGGAAAGTCCTGAGGAGAACAGAACATTGGAGATAATTTCTACAACACTGTAATCTTTATTCTATAAAATTATAATTCATTACAGCCTATATGTTCTAATATCCCAGCTTTATGTGGAGTACTCAGCTATGAGAGTCTAGTATGACAGGAAAAGCAGAACATCTTTAAAATAAAGAAATTAATCCAATTTAACAATAGAACTGGATAATGTTGAATGAATGCCTATGTGAAAATAAACCCTAAGCATACTCTTTGCAGGGAGCCAATTCCTCTTTCAGGCTAAGTGCTAGCCCACGTGAGATTGGAAAGGTTTTATTTGTTATTGTTTCACCTGGTAAAAGTTTTTTTCTTTGAAAAAAAAGTTTTGAGAAATGCATCTACAACTCACTTCCATGCCAAACTTCCATAAAGACACCAACATAGATACTTTTCAGCACTGGTTCAATGGCTAATACAGAGTTTATAGGTATGTGTTTAGAAAAGGAGCCAATTTAGGTTTGCACATAGGCAAATCCTGAAGCAGAGGAAGTTATATTCTTTACTAAAACAAAGAGTGTTATTTAATACATTACAAAAGAGCACTTCCATAAAAAGAGTTGGGAAAATGGTTTATTGCTAAACAAGTTTCTCTGTACCATAATATTGAAATGATATTTCTCAACAAAGCTAGCTAAAACAAGTATTGCATAGTCTCCAGGCTTCAGACAAAAACTGTCATTAGGTTTTATTAAAATGTACAAATTTGGGCTGAGGATTTAGGTCAGTGGCTCCACTGCCTGCCTCGCAAGCACAAGTTCAATTTTTAGTACCAAAAAAAAAAAAAAGTCCAAGTTTACTTGTGGAAAATATAGATATGACTCATTCAGTGAATCTTTTATTTCTACCCTGGTAAGTAATATCCTGGTACAATGTTAACTTTGGTTACTCAACCAGCGGCAGGCAGATTGCCTCATATATCTGTTACCACCAGAGGAAAACTATGGATAGCCAGAATAAAGGAACTCCCCAAAGGGGTAAGCATCTTGAACTGAGAATAGGGGAACGGATTGTAGTACCTCTTCTTCCGTTATCTAATTACACAGTTGTAGTCTATAACAGTTCATACATCAATAAAACGAAGGTGTGGACTAGAAAGATCTGTAAGTTTCTATGAATTTTTAACATCCTCAGTGAATACATTGAGTATAAAGTACATGTTTCCAAATTCGGTTAGAAATATAAGCAAGACCATATTGGTTCCACAGTAAAGTGTAACAAATTATCCTAAAAGAGCCCCCAAACAGCAATTTATATAATTTGAGACTTAAGAATTCACAAATGACTCATTAAGGTGGTTTTGATCAAAATCCTTCTTGAGGTTATAGCCAAGATGTCAGCAAAGACTGTAGTTAGTGATCTGAAGCTTGACAGTGGCTGGAAAATCTTCTAAGTTGCTTCACTCACATACCTAGCAAGGTAGTGCTAGCAGTTGGCAGGAGGCCTTCAGCCTCTCAGCAAGTGAGCCACTGCATAAAACTAAGCAGCCTTACATGTCAGTTGATTTCCCTCAGAGCTAGTAACCCAAGAAGGACAAAGAAAATTAGAAATCTCAATGTCTTTTATGATCCAGGCTGTTTACGCAGGATCAACCCTTTTTAGAGTGAGAGGGACTACACAAAGAGATGCCAGGGTGAAGGATCACTGTCAGGAGCAATTCTACATGATTTTGGGGAAAAGTCATTTCACAATTATCTCATGATTAGGACCTAGTTTTCTAGCTTACAGGTCAGCTACGGCGTGTTGAGTCATAACTCAGTTTCTGCCTCTGGTCACAGCTGGACCTCAGTGGTCCAGTGATGCTGTGATGCTCCAGGGCAAGATTACACCAGCTGGAGACATCCTGGGAGGAACCAGATCTTCACCTGCATAGTTCCTCACTGTTCTAGGATTGTCACCACTGCGACTCTCCCGACATGCTGAACTCTCTGTTCTGAGTCATTTGTTATATTTGTTTGTCCCGATGTACTGATTAAAGGTGTGGCAAGCTCAGGGGCTTTCCTCTTCTCTAAGTCTCATTTTTTCTATCTTTTCAATCTAATAAATTAATTCACCTGTGGTGGCTCACAGGAGACCAGGACTTACTGTACAGGTTCTAGTAACGGCCCTTTTTCCTGTTCCCTACAAATCACAACTTTAACAATTGGCCCAAAGTCAGTCAAAAAAGAAACTACCTCTATTATATAAACTACTAAGAAAGTTACATTTAATCTTTTCCTAAAAAGAAAAAAGTTCAAAATGACACGACATAGCTATTGGCTGAAAATTGTAAAGTACTAATCTATGGAATGGAACAGAATGCTATGGAATGGAATAGAAAATAATAATTTGTCAGTGATACATTACCTCTACTACAGTATCCTAGACCCATGGTGGTGAACCTATGGAATGTATGTTATTTTTCTTTTAAGACAAAGGATGGTATTCCATGAGTTGTTTTTCTTAACTAAAACCTCAGTATGGTGTTGGGAAAGAAAGGAAAATGAGGTGCCATGGAAAACTACAGTGAATGTTTAAATTTTTAATTTTTAAAATAATTTCTTACAATAAAAGACAGATTACCAGAACTGACATAGTTGCAGTGTTGTGATAAATGAGTTTGGGGTTGTAGTTTGGGCACTCATTTCTAAAAGGTTCACCATCACTGTTAGAGCCTTATCTTCTCCCCTTTAAGTTCTAAATTGGGACCAGTGTCTTTGGGAACATCTAACAGCTATGGACTGTGACAAAAATGTTAAATTAAAAATGCTTAACAGCAAAAGATAACACTGCTATTAACCCCCCCCTCAAAATACCCTTTCTTCAAATCCACTTTTCTGATCCTTCTTGCCACTTTTCTGAGACAGTTTAAAATTTATTATAGTGTGTCCTCATTCATGTTATTTTCTAGATCTGGCACAATGGACTCTGACTCTTCCCCTCAAGTCAAAATAACCATGAAAGGTTAATATTTTGAATTAATTCAGAACATCAAGGCAGACAGGGCAGTACAGCTAAAGACAAAAAAGAGAAATTGGAGAACTGCCTCAGAAAGAGACAAGAATAATGGGATAAGTTTTTTTTCAAACTGTTTTTGACACAAGGGGAAGTATTTTGAAAGGGATTACCAGCAATCTGTCTTTCACTGGAACAAACGATTTAAAACTTTTTAAATTTAAACATTCACTGTAGTTTTTCCATGGCACCTCATTTTCCTTCTTTCCCAGCATACATTCATGAACTTTATTGGCAGCTGGATAGCAAATACTAGTGAGAAGAAATGAACTCTGGCCAACTGCTAAAGAAAGAAAAGTCACAACAGCCTTTATGACACCCTTTCTTCAGATGACCACAGCTCAACAGCTGACCACATTACTTGATTTCCATTTTTTCCATTCCATCTCCATTTTGGGTTTTTGAACTTTTCATTTACTGTTTAGCTACTGGTCCAAGAACATAATTCTGAGCAAGGCCTAGTGATTCAGGCCTATAATCTCAGCACTCTGACTAACTGAGGGAAGAAGATGGCAAATTCCAATCCCTTACAGGTAATGTACAACTTAAAAAGATCCCATTTTAAAAGAAAAAAAAAATGAAGGGACTGGGGATGCGAAGGCCTGGGTTTAATTTTCAGTAATGAAAAAAAGAAAGTTCTGACTTCCAGACAGATCTAAATTTAAAATGTTACATGTTTGGTCCTGAAAACATCGCTGAGTACAAGTTTCTCTTATCCTCCAACCGCTCTTCAGTGACCCTCCTTTCTTATTTGCCTTTTCTAAACCTGTGTTGGTCTGGATTTTGACTCAATAATTTTGGAAACTATAGACAAATCACTTAACCTCAATATTCAAGCTTCCTCATTTATAAAGCAGCATTTTTCCTGTAAATACCTCACAACCTTATTTTGAGATTATCAAAATACTGGGTGTCGATGTTTAGGACTTTTTCAATCCATCAACTACCAATATATTGAAGAGAATTTATTTCTGATTATAAAAGCTATACCTGCCTTACACACAATTTAGAAAACCTTTTAAAATGTATATGTAGCAATTAAAATTATTTGTACGTATCTCCTTAACTCAGTGGTAAAAATAACCCATTAGCGTACATTCCAATTGGTTTTAGTGTAAGCAAATTGTTTTTAAAAAGCAAAAATAGTTCTATTATGGAAATTTCTGTCTTTATACCAAAGCATAAGTATAGTATTAAGAACTCTCACATACCCATTCCCTAGCTTCAACAGTTATCAACCTTGCTTTATTTAAACTCAGACTCCCGTTCCCAATTATTTTATAGTAAATCTCCATACATATCATCTGCATATATGTATCCTCAGAATATATATATATTTTTTTCTTTTTGGTACCAGGGATCGAACTCAGGGCCTTGTGCTCTCAAGGCAGGCAAGGAGACAACTGAGCTAAATCCTCATTATAATCTATTAAAATGTAATTACGATACTACTACCATGTACTTTAAAAGAAACCGTAATTTGTTAATATATCATATATTCAGTGTTCAAATATTCTCGATAGCCTCATTTTTTATAATTAGAAGTTTAATCCTTTGCTATGCTGGTTAAGACACTGTCTCCCTCCCACACTGCTGGGCTTCGCCATCGAATAAGGTCCCTCCAGAACCCGAATCAAGTTTCTTCCTGCAGCGACCGAGCCGGAAAGCACTACAAGCCAATGTGCTCGATTCTGTGGCGAGCGGAACTAAAGTCGTGCCTCTCTTGCGGGCTCCATAGGGAAGTCTTTTTATGTTACACTAAACCAGTCTCCGCAAAAGCGATTGGCAGCGGGTACCGGAAACGCCCGCGAGTCTCCAGCTCGCGAAAGGTTTTTCCATGAGAAGTGGTGGAGGACTGAGATCGCGGTTTCTGTCCTGTCTGGAGCTGAGAATTGGGGCCGCAACAAATATGGAACGCGGCACGGAAGGCCGCACTGCCAGCGTGCTTTTTGCGGGGTTCCGGGCCTTGGGGCTTTTTAGCAAAGATATTCCACACGTGGTGCGGTTCAGCGCGTTGAAGCGCCGGTTCTACGTAACGACCTGCGTGGGCAAGAGCTTCCACACCTATGACGTGAGTGGCTTCCTCCTTCTCCCACTTCCCGAAAGCCGCCCTCCCCCAGTTACCCGCGCTGTACCGGTGCCATCCCGCTGTCTCTTCAAGTCGGCCAAGGTTTCCCTGTCTGCTCCTTTCCTCTGTCCCCCTCCGTGTTGTGTTTGGCCATTCTGGCGGCGTCCACGTGCTCGGGACGAGTTTCGGAGGCAGCCTGGCCGGGAGGAAAGTACTGCACTGTACAGATCGTCGCGGTTCTGTGGCAGTGTCTTTGCCTAGGATTTATCCTTTCTCTGAAGATGTAAACACCAAAAATATGCGCTCCCTCGCTCTTATGGTCTTGCTGCTGGAAGTGTAGTAAGCCATTTTTATTGGTAGTTGATGACAAACTGCGTTTGAAATTTAGAACAAAATCCATTGGGAGAACCGGACGGGGTGAGATTATGATTTATGGGCTCACATTTGAGTATCTGGCACAGTGTCATTACACGCCTTGGCAGTAGTTTCTTTGCAAGATAGGTTACATTGTCTTGTAGCACTCCTACATAAAAGTAAATCTTAGAAATCTTAGAAAAATTAAGTTGTCAAGGTCCTCCTGCTTGCTAGTGTTCTTTTTCTGTCTCTCTTTTAACAGCTTCCACTAATTGAAATAATCTTTTATTGTTATTTCTTTTCGAGTTCTTCAAAAGAGTATAAGCTTTGAGAGTGGAAAGTTAATATGCCAGTGTTAATTAGGCACCTTTTTCTGGGAAAAATGCTGTAGACTTGTTTTCCTTGAAGTACTGTGAGAGTCAAATGGGCTATTAACAAAAAGAGCAGGGAATTGGGAGCCAGTTGACTTACTGCAACAGGAGAGTAGGGCGAGGTGAAGAGCAACTGGATTTCAGGAAGTCTGGGTTAGTGACATTATTAATCTTGTGGGAGTATTTGCTGATACCATTCTCCACACGTTTCCTTGCCAGCAAACTTGGATTTGCTAAAGTTTAATCCCTGAGGAGTAACTTCTCTCAAGTTTTTCACATCACGCTAATGTGTATGGCATCTTTTCTGACACTCAGCAATACCATCAAACACATTTTTCCAAAGAAATTCTGGGATTAGAAGAGTAACACATTTACATAAAAGTTTCAGGATTTACTTATCTCTGCATTGCGATTTTGTCATAAAAATGTTTTTTAAGATCCCTTTTACTTCTAACATTGAGGATGCACTTTTAGATATACTCTTACCATAACATCATAGCATACAAGTTAATATCTGAAGAGATGCACTGGGCTGTGACCTCTGAAATTGAAAATAATGTGGGAGAAAAAAATGGCAACTAATGAGGTGAAATCACTGATTGAGTCTATAATGCTCTGTCCTATGGCCATGGTTATAATAATGTCCACAGTCAGACTTCCTAGCTTTTTGCACAGGGAAATTAACCAAATTGTGGACAGGTGACACAGTGGTGGTTATAGCAGCTACCATTTATTGGGCATTTACTATATGACTGGTTCCATCCTATTTTATACAGATTTATAATTTTGTTGAGTTTTCATACTTCCATAAAATACATACCTATTTTAATCCCTTTTTTACAAAAGAGGAATTTGAGGAATAAGGAAGCTGAGTAACTTCCTCAGGGTTACAAAGTTTGAATAATAACCATATATTGGAATCAGCAAATTACAGTTTGCAAGCCACTGCAACCCATTGTTTTTGTGTTAACCAGGAGTTATGATTGATTTTGCTCTTTTTATAAAGGTTGGGGAGAATCAAAATATTTCATGACACATGAAAACTATACAATTTCAGTGTAGATAAAAGTTGATTGGAATACACTCATGCACCTTTATTTATTTTGTTTTGTTTTGTTTTTTTGGTACTGGGGATCAAACTCGGGTCTTTGTGCTTGCGAGGCAGGCCACTGAGCCACTGAACTAAATCCCTGGCCCACATTTATTTATTTTATGCATCAGCATTCATGCAACAATGACAGACTACCTGTTGCACAAAGCCTATAATATTTGTTCTTTGGTCCATATCGGAAGCTGTTTCCAGCACTACTCTTGATGAAATTGGTGAAAATATAAACTTTCCTAATGAGTATTAGAATCAATGAGTGTCTTTTTTAGGAAGGGCAGAGTAGCTCATTTATGTTTGAGGTTATACCTTAATCTTCAGGGGCTATGTTATTATAACTTTTTGTTAATGAGAACTTACTGATTTTTTTTTTTTTTCTTTTTGTGAACAGGTTCAGAAACTTAGTCTGGTTGCAGTAAGTAAGTATGAACTTTATTCTGAATTTATGCATGTTTAACATCTGTACTTTTATATTGTAACATCAAATCCTGGGTGGAGGGAGTATAAACCTAAATAGCAAAAACCAAAGACCAGGACATGGTCCTCAGATAGTGTTTCATAACATTGACTTGGAAGAATACAGGCTAATTCTTTTTAGACTGTCCTTCAATTTGAGTTTTTCTGATGCTTCCTCATAGTTAGAGTCAGGTTATATATACACTTTAGCAGGAATAATAAAGAAATGATGCTGAATTATCAGTGAATTATATCAGGAGGTGCAAGTAGTTGGTTAATTCTGTTCCTGGCAGTGATAACTTTAATAGTTTGGTTAACGTGACATCTGTCAGGCTCCATTTTAAAGTGACTGTATTGCCTTCTATAGTTAATAAGTATCTTCTGGTTAGATGCTTTGCAGTTATGTAAATATCCTTTTACTCTTCAGAGTTTCACCTACTGCTCTTAGTATGTAGTGATGATACTTTCCTGAATCAGTTATTAGTATAATGGTTGATAAATAGTACTTTTTATTTTTATCATTCCTTCTCCTGTAAGGAAGTCTTACTTTTGGGTATTTTTTCCACTGGAAGGAGATTTGTTTTTTTTGAACAGTTTAATAGAATAAAGGACTTTCCAGAACTGAGAGGTACTAGTTTTACCTTTGCATATGAGCTTTGTGAAAGAAATACAGGAGACCTATAAGGAATCCACTGTCTGATATATTTATATTTTTTTAAAAAATTAGAAGTCAAGAAAGATATGTAACATAATTGAAATACAAAAGTGAATGATAAACTTATAAAAGTAGTGTTATGGAAACTAAAACTCAAAATAAAATATGCCACATAAAAACACTTAAGGCCATCCTCTATCAACGTCCTACCTTCAAAAGAAAAAAGCAGTATATCCATATCAGTGAGAGAGAAATCAAGCAATCACAGCATATGAGAATGACTAGAAGTGATAGGCATATTTACTTTGGAGTAGACTGAGTGGAACACATTGTCTTTAATTACTTCAAGGGTTAACATGTAGAATAACACATGGAGTTTCTTGAGGTTGATCGAAAGGGTAGATGTGAATCTAGGTCTTGATTTACTTGTAACTTTCATCTGGAGTTACTCGTGAACTTAATGTTCTTAAAGATAGTCACGTGAAAACTGCATGCCTGACTGCCAGAGTTTTGTGTATTAAGTCATAATTTTTTCCAAATACTTCAAAAAGCTTTTCACTTCTTTAAAATTGTATATATCTACAACTGTTGGTATTTATATGTTTAAAATCAAAGCTCAGCTTTTTTACTTAAATACATGTTTTAATGTTATAGCCATGAAAATTTTTATATGTATATATTTGTATATATATTTTTTAACATTTCTTTTTATTCCAAGAGCTTTAAAAGCCCTTATTTTACACTTTACAATAGGTAATTCTGTTCCTCAAGACATCAGCTGTATGGCAGCTGATGGGAAACTTGTCTTTGCTGCCTATGGGAATGTTTTCTCTGCATTTGCCCGTAATAAGGAGGTTTGTATCACTGAACTATATTAACTTGTACAGGTTTTTTTTTCTTCCTGTTTATTCTGTTTTTTTAGAAGAAGAGAAAATTGATTTCACCTATATATGTGTATGCTTTATGTACACACGTTCATCATACATGGCTCCTATGAAGAGACTTTAATGAGGGAACCACATGTACAGGTCTGGTTAGGATTAGGGGGACAGACTAGGATAGGGAGGCCTCAGTGGCTCTCAATTATGGGAAGCTGTTACCACCCATAGGACTAAAGTGTAACGGAAAAGAAATGATGTTATTGCGGCATGATGAGAACGGAAACCATGGAAGAGGGCGTGTAGTTACGGAGAGATCAGCTGTTCTAAGGGTGTTCCGTGTCAAAGCAGAAAGGTAGAAGGGAGAAGCACTCTGCGTCTCCCTGTCGCATCTCGTCTGGAGCCAGCTGGTGATAGAACCTGCACAGGTTAGCCTTCTGACATGCGTACCACTTCTTTCTAGTGCAGGGAGTTGCATTGGTTAAACTGGGGGACCGAGATGCGTTCATGCCTTTTCCCTAAGCTCAGTAGGGGGCTGATCCCTTAGAGATCAGTCTACAGACTAACATATCTGTGTTACTAGTTCATGCTTTACTTCCTTGTTATTGATCTGACTGAGGGAACAAAAAACATGGCTGGTTCCTTGCTGTTTGGACTACATTTCTTAGCATGAGCGTTTTTAGGAATGGCATGTTTTTTGGATAATGTGACTAATACTATATGTTGAATGAATAATAATATGAAATTCCTTTCAACTTTGACATTTGTAGGTAGTACATACCTTTAAGGGTCATAAAGCAGAAATCCAACTTTTACAACCCTTTGGGGATCACATTATCTCTGTTGATACCGACAGCGTTCTTATTATTTGGCACATATATTCAGAAGGTAAGAACTAACAATTTAATATCCTTTACCTTGGGCTAGTAAATACAATTTTTATACCAGAGGTTTCACATGTAAAGTTAAAGAAGAAAAAAGGTTCTGTGTTATAACCTATTCAATGTGTTCATCTCAACTAGAACTTTTTTTTTTTGTAATGGGGATTGAACTTGGGACCTTGTGATTGTGACGCACACAGCGGCACCACTGAGCTAAATCCCCAGTCCTCAACTAGAATATTTTCCTTTATTGTTTGCTAAGGTTTTGTTATTTTCTCTGTGGAATAAATTTTGACAGATGTTCACACCTGTGAAATTATTAAGTATTTTCAGCATTTAGTAGAAGAGATTATAATAGTAAACTTGAAGAGCTTGTAATCTAAGGGAAAAAAATGCATCCTTTTTAAGGTTATGAAGAGTGTATTTTCATAGATTAAGAATTTCTTACCAGAATATCCCCAGCTTTCTTTACTAAAATATTAGGGGTCCATTATGAATTAAATGTTATAAGTTCTTTAATCTTTTTACCTCTTTGTTATCTGTTGTTCAGTGTAGTGTGTTTATTTTTAGTAAGTGTCCTAGAACAGTTATGTCTTGATGTGACATGCCCTCTGCAGCATGTGTGCCACAGCTTTGCCACCACTGTCCTAGAGATTACCTTTAAAGGAGTCATTCTCTGTTTTTACTCAAATTAGCCAAACCCCCCTCTGTTTTGCTTTGATTTTGCTCAAGTGGGGGGATTAGAGTTCTAGAAGTATTCTCTATGGAGATGTTAAAAGGCTGAATAGGGCTGAAGATACAGCTCATTGGCAAAACCTAGGGTTAATCCCCAGTACTGCTTTGTTTTTGTTTTTGTTTTTGTTTTTACTTTTTTTTTTTTTAAGCTGTAATAAGGTTACATGATTGGACTCTTAAAACCAGTAGCCTCTGGTACTGATGCCTCTTTCTTGCTGTTAGCATTATCATGTTATGTAAGAGTTCAAAGAATTTTTTGATCTTGCAGGAAATGATTATTGTACTTGCTGTACCACTTCCCACCCCTCCATGGGGTTATAAGTTATTTTCTGCTCCTCTATACGAGATTCTTCTGTGGAAATGTATGAGAAGCACTATTCTTGGTTTCACTGAGGCTTGGTTCTTACTTTTCCTACCTTTGAAATGGCTCACCAAGCTTTCCAGATAATTGGCTCTTGACATAGAACATTTACTCACTCATGCATATTGATCAAATTATAAGGTTATTAATGTTGATCCCAACAATCATGTTTTATCCTTTTTCTTTTCTGTAAAGCAGTTTGCAGTGAAATGTAGTACGAGTTTTAGAACTTACAGATAATTTTTGATAGACTAAATTATATTTACAGGTTGTTACCGTCACATTTATTTATCAAGGGATATTAATAGATTATTATATAAGTGTTTGCTTTCCATTAGTGTATGATTCTCTTACATTATATGCTTTTGAGTGTTAAGAATTTGGGTATATTAACCATTTTAAGTTATTTTATAAAAATAATTACATATTATTTATAACTTGCACTTTTGTAGAAGAATACCTGCAGTTGACTTTTGATAAATCAGTTTTCAAAATTTCTGCAATTTTGCATCCAAGTACCTATTTGAATAAAATACTTCTGGGCAGCGAACAGGGAAGCCTGCAGTTGTGGAATGTTAAATCCAAGTAAGCACTTTATTTAAAAAATAACGTAGTTGCCACCTTGTCCTCCTTTCCTGCTACATTCTAAGTCTCTGAACTCTTACCCTTTTGTGTTTTTATGGAGCCTGTCAATAAATATGGCTGGTTTTGAAGTTCTTGCTCATGGTGTCACATATTCAGAAAATGGCATGTTGTCTTGGCATATGATAGGTAGCTTCATAAGTGCACACTAAAAAGTATTATTAATGGCCCATTAATTGGAAAAGAATCCATATAGCTATAGAGAAGTCTCTGGTAAAGTAATGTTACGAGATTATCTTTCAGCAGGATCTGGTTTTTGATAAACTAAAAAGGAAAGAGATAGTAAAGCAAATAAGTAGTAATTTAGTATTTGCATTTAGAATTGGTTTTCATGGAAAAATACTTTCATCAAAGCATTAGTATGGTAAATATCTGCTACAGTATTTTTGACATATATTGTTTAGCATTAAATAACATTTGACTACTCAAAGTTTCTTTCCAAAGACATTACAAATTCAAAAGTGAAACTTTTAGTGTTTATCCTAATTCCTAGTTTTGAATCACTAATTTCAGTTCAGTTTAACAAATAGCATTGACTGTCTGCTGTGAACCAGACTCAGGGATATCTGCTCTGCCCTTAAGGTTATTTCCTTAGGTTATTCCTGTGTTGTTTACAATTCTTTGTTATACTTTAAGTATCCATTGTATAAATTTTTAGTAATCTGGGCCATTTACAAAATTTAATTCAGGGCTTGGTACTTTAATGATTTTTGAGGATTATTATTCTCTGCTCCATGAACTTATAATTTATCATTCATTTGAATCTGAACCAGTAGCATCACTATTGTCATGCAGTAGTTCATGTAACGTACAAGTACTAATTTGTTTTTTGGGGTTTTTTTTGTTTTTTTTTTGTTTTGTTTTTTTTTTTTTTTT